GAATATTGGAGATCGTTTTAGAATTCAGCCTAATGTAGTATATTTTCAGGAAAGAAATGGAAAATCCTTCTTGGAGATAGTGCAAGGGTGTGTAGAAATGCTCTTTGCTACAGCCCCAATTCTATGCCATTAACTCCACAAGACATAAGATTGCAGTCATATGCTTACTTTATGGCAGACTACTTTCTCTGGCCACAATTGCTGCTTTCAGTAGTGCAAGTGGACCATTTTCTGAAGTGATTTGAATTTAAAATGACATCAAGTGAATAAGATGCTTTTAGATAAAATTTTTCTAAGCTTAATGCCTCAAGTGTCAAACCAATAAAAGTATGCCTTTTGTCACAGGAAATCAAGGAATGTGCAGAAAAGAGTTAATTTAGGTGTGAAACTGCTACCATTGGAAAGGTTTGCTTGCCAGGTGGCCATTGGCTGAACTCTGGGAACTTGGAACTCAGGGGGGTTCCTACCACCCTAACTGATAAGACTGGCTCACTATGCCTAAACTGTATGAACAAGATGGTTTGTATTGGATACATGTTTCCCTTCTGGGAGTCTATAATTTTAGTATGTCCTATAATTCAAGAAGTTGGACTTTATGAAGAAGACAACCAACCTGTGAGATACGCAGATAACACAGTCTTGATTGTCAAGCACAGAGAAAACTCAAAGCCTTTACTGATGAAGGTCAAAGACTAAGAATTGCACCTGATCATGAAGAAATAAAAATCCTCACAATTGGCCTAATAAACATTTGTGAGGAAAGTTGAAATTTTCAAGGATTTCATTCTATTTGGATCAACAGTTGACATCCAAAGAAACAGCAGTCAAAAGGGAAATGACATATTTCATTGAGCAAATCTGCAACAAGGGACTTCATTAAAATTCTAAACAGAAAACATGTCACTTTGTTGACTAAGGTGCTCCTGACTCAAGCCATGGTCTTTTCAATCACCTCATATGATGCAAAAGTTGGGCAGTGATAAAAGAAAACAGAAGAATTGATGCTTTAATTGATTGCAGTGTTGGCAAAAAGTATTGAATAAGCTATGGACTGCTAGACAACTAAACAAATCATCTGTAGAGGAAATACAACCAGAGTGGTCCTTCAAAGTAAGGATGCAGAGACTTTGATTTTATTACTTTGGACATGTCATCAGGAAAGATCCATTTGGTAAAGTGTTTTGATATTATTGTTGCTAAGTGCCAGAGTCAGTTCCAACTCATAGTGACCCTATATAGGGTTCCCAAGGAGTGGCTGGTGAGTTTGAACCACCGATCCTGTGGTTCAAACCCACCTTGAGGTCCTGAGCATTATCCTGCAGCGCCACATCAGGGCTCCTTGGTAAAGTAGAGGAATGAAAGGGACTGTCAATGAGATGGACTGACATAGTGGTGACAATAGGCTCAAACATATAAAAGATCATGAAGATGGCACATGGCCTGCAGAGCAATACTTAGTTCTGCTGTATGTAAGGTTGTCGACTTGGGGGCAACAACAACAGGCAGAAGGTGCCTATCTTCCAACCGCCAATACAAAAACCTCAGGAACCCAGTCTTTAATGAACTTCCACAGTAGAATTTCATACATGTTGTTAGGAAATTTTACAAATCTATGTGATTCTACTAGAGAGAGGACTGTTAGAAGCCTGAGTCTGGTTTCCCCAGGTTTCTGATTTGGCTTTGTTCTCCATTGCTGTAATAAGCTATAGTATGAGTACAACTATATGCTGAGTCCTTGAAACTAATCATTAAACCTGGGCATGATCTTGTGGACCCTGACAGAATGAATAAAGTAACAAGACTATTTTCATGTTCTGTGTCTAGGCTCCAATTTTCAGTATTCTAGGCCATAATCTTCTCCATCATGGAGATGAGCAGAGCAAATGAGCCAGAGGTAAAAGGTGGGTCTCCTATGGGTTCTGGAGAGTTCAGCACCATTCAGACGTGTGTTCTCATCCCACAGTCTGATCTGGGACAAGTTACTTGACCTCTGTCTGTAGTCTTCATCTATAAAATAGTGATGACAGTAATCACCTTAAAGGGTTGTTAACATGAGACATCCAACGGAAAAGTGCTTAGCTCCGTGACTGGCACATGGTGTCTTAGAGTTGTTGGATCTGATTCTGTGTAGTGTCATCACTTGCCCCACCCCCTCTCTGCCTTCTCCCTTCTTTCTTGACTATCCCGTTTGACTCCCTTCTCTTAGTTATCCTATAAGCTCCTTCACATCCAATCATTCCCTCCCCACTTACTACCTTTCCTTAAGTGCTAAATTTAAACAATAGTACTTAAAAAAAAACAATGTTTTTCTTTAAGCACTTACAAAAAGTGGATATAGTATAAATGTGTTGTCTTCAGTTCCAGCAGCCCTAACATCCAACAGCTTTTGGTTCTACTCCCAATGTTTAGGAGGATTATACATAACTGTGAAACCCATTAACCACTCCTTTGTGCTCATGTAAAGATTTACAGCCTCAGAAACCCAACACATGGCTGGTATGAGTCAGAATTGACTTGATGGCAGCAGGTTTCGTTTGTTTACACATAACCTGTACAGTCCTCAATGAAATAATTTTATTACTTTTGATAATGGTAAATGATAATCACAGATATAACTATGCAGTTTAGTTTTCATACCTCTGTAAGGCTATCATGTAAATAAAGTCATAATTTGGAAAACAATCTTTTGCCAAATCCTTTGTTCTAATGTTTGCTCAGAATATTTGCTCCCTGAAACACTGGGCTCCTAGGTGAAAAGCAGTTCTCTTGTTTTTCCATTGGTATATTTAAAACACGCTTTCAGTGAAGATGAAAACATCTGCTCATAATTGGTTTCATTTGCAACTTCCAAGTCCCTGTGGACTGAGTGCTTAGAGCGTGCTCAGAGAATATTGAAAAGGCCATCCTGGGGCTAAGAATCATACTGCTGCATGTCATCAAGTTGGTGCTGATTCATAATGCTCCTGTATAGGGTTTCCAAGGCTGTAAATCTTCACAGGAGCAGAAAGCCTCATATGTCTCCTGCAGAGTGGCTAGTGGATTTGAACTGCTGACCTTGAGGTTAGCAGCCCAGTGCATAACCCACTACACTACCAGGGCTCCTGAGGATCATATATAACCAGAAATAGTCTCTGTCAGTATTGCTGAAGCAGAGATTCCTTAGAAGAACAAAGGAAGCTTAGGAAATGCCCAGAAAACACAGTTTCCCTGTTATTTATAAAGTAATACCAATTTTGGTATTGAATAAAGGAGGTCTTGTATCCTCCCTCCAGGGTGGAGGGGGAACTTGTAATGAGACATAGTGTATACAAGCTGGAAAATGAGACAGAAAAATCAATCAAATGTTTAAAACAATATTTGTCAAAAAATTCAATATTTGAAACCAAAATAACAAAAAAGAAAAATAAACCTAGAATAAAAGATCAAAAGAATGATAATTATAAATAGCTTTGGAAACTATAATTCTGTCCCTCCTTCTCTATCCCCTAGCACTCTTTTCAGATAGGGTTGTACATCAGCCACCTGAGACAAACATTTTTCTGTCCTATATTAAAGATTAAAGAGGTTCCCTGGTAATTTGTGCTTTATTATCCTGTGGTATTGTAGGATAAGCACTTGACCCAAAGTCAGTTTGAACTGCAACAATCCTAAAAATGAGGGAGCACAAAGGCTCTGTAGGATAAGCCCTGGACTGCGAACCACAGGTCAGCAGTTCGGGCTCACCAGATGCTCCACAGGAGACAGATGAGGCTCTCTGAGCCGGTACAGATTCACAGCCTCAAAAATACTATACAGGGTTGCTATGAGTCGGAATCAGCCTGGGTGGCACTTAACAACAATCTTTAAAATGAAGCTAAAATGGCATATCGCCTGAGCTTGTTCTGTTCTTAACAATAGACATGGAAAACATCGAAACATTTGTTGTTGTTATGTGCCGTGGAGTCAGTTCTGACTCATAGCGACCCTGTACAGGATTTTCAAGGCTGTAAATCTTTACGGGAGCAGAACGTCTCATCTTTCTCTTGCGGAACAGCTGGTAGTTTTGAACTGCTGACCTTGCGGTTTGCAGCCTGTTTCATAACCACTACACTGCCAGAGCTCGAAACATTTAGCGAAGTTAAATTCCATTATATGCGTTAGGCAAAGTGGCAGCATCAATGCACTCAAGCGTGGCAACAAGTGTGAGGTTGGCCCAGGACTGGGCAGTGTTTCATTCTGCTGTGCCATAGGGTCTCTATGAGTCGGTTCTAGCTCGATGGCACCTAACAGCAACAACATATGTATTAAGGCTGCTAGAATTCTCCAACACTGGCATCCATAAAAATCATCAAAGATTGAGTAATCAAAGCCTTTTATCTTTGCCAACAAATTCTCTTATCAGACTCACAGAACTACTGCAAAATTAATTAACTTGAATTTATAGCTTTTATTTTCCTCAACTCACATCTTCTTGAAGTTTTAAGTGGAAGGAAAGTATCTAGATGATCAGAAGCAGTACTTCAAAAAGGGAAAGAAAGCTCTGGAAAATTATAAACGAAATCTCATTCATTTAAAAAAAAATCAACAAATATTTATTGAACTTCTAGGACATGCCAGACATTAGATGCAAATACAGTGATAAGCAAAATGGACAAGCTTTCAACTCGTGGTGAGTAGATAAT